CTCACGCCTTAGATTCATAGATAAATAGCATGGCCTTAGCAAGCTGCATTTCTACTACCCTTCTATTTTACACATATGCTAGCAGAAAGCCATCTGCTTCTGCAAAACATGGGGAACTCAAATCTTAAGCTAGCTATACACTATTTGTCTTTCCACGGGGCTGTGGAAAAAAAAAACCCTGCTTGATTCCCCCATCCACGCCAGATATCATAGATGGGGTATCCCCCAGCCAGGTTATTGTATTCTTATAGCAGTGGGTGTGCCACTGTCAGAATAGCCAAACGGTGACTGCAGTTGATTGACTACTGTCACTGTTCAGTCAAAAAATGTTCATACCAGCCTCTTTGACAAAAGTCAGGTGAAATGGAGGGGCACCAGCAGGGTCACACACTGCTTCTATTCTGGTCGAGTGAGCGGGACTAGGCTGAAATTGAAGAAGTGTATGACCAGCATTAGTGTGCACTCTCTCAGTTTCAAAGTCCAAGTGGAGACACACTGTGACACACACCCTCAATGCAAAGTGCATGCCCTGCTAATCTTATAAAGAAGAGCTTGATCTGCAGTGTGGGATTTGGAGGGTGTATTCCATGTCTGAAGTCTACCTAGGAATTTGCATAACTCACTAGGTTCCAGGGTTCCTAGGGTAGGCAAAGGCTGTTTTATTAACAGGTAGGTAAAGATCCACCCCAAAAAACCTTTATAACTATTGTGGCGGAAAGAGGGTCACTTACAGTTGTGGAAGGTGTTTTGGGTCTGTGGAAAGCATCTTTACGTAGTCAGCCTTAAAACTGCTCATTGACACAGTTATGTCCTCAATTGAATGAATCCGTTGTATCAGACATCCAGAAGTAAGTTTAGTTTAGGATATTCTGGATAGAGCAAAAAGTAGCATAATAAGTAGAATACCCTAAAGCCATAAAAAAACAATTACTTTCCAATTCAGCTGACTGTGGAGACTCCAGAAATGTAATCAATGGCAGAAGTTAAACAATCTACAATGTATGTACACCTGTATTGTAAAGATGAAGATATGATTATTTAACAATTAAAAGGAGAACTATGAGGTCAGTGCTTTTCACTCACCTCATAGTTCTAGCCAACCTGTGACAATGAGACTGTCACAGGTCGGCTCAGTAGATCGGGAGGTGAGCGAACACATACCGGCGTTCGCTCACTTCCCGATCCTGTCACAGCCCTCTGCCATGACAGGGGAGGGGCTGGATTCCCCACTTCGATACATCGCTGACTGGCGGATTGGACGGGGGAGGGGACGGGTACAGCCGGCTCTGCCTCTAGATAGGTAGAGCCAGCTGTCAGTCACGCAGCTGGGCGGATCCAGACATAATTGTCGGGATCCGCTGCTTTAGCTGCGGCGGCGCTCACGGTATACTGTGGCGTCTCAAGGAGAACTATGGGGAAAAGCCTTAACCCCATAGTTCTCCTTTAAGAATTAACCATGTATTCACAATATTAACTCTTAATGGATATTGGAATTACCGTAAGAAATAGTAGTAGTAAAAACCACCGTAGCTCACTTGGATTCCACAGTTTTAAAACAGCTTCATAAATATTTTGCGAGTCTGACCCACTTTAGGTGTCATAAGCCTTTGCCAGATATGATAAATAGGCCCAAAAGTAACTACTCCTGCATACGTTTAGTCACTAAACCAAAACTGACAGAGCTAACTATGAGTATACTTTTCCAGCAAACACCATGGCAATCCATCAAACTACAGAATAACTAAGGGTGATTAGTAGGTTACACTTTACCAACAGAGAGAGAGAGAAGATAGTTTGTTCGAGGAAACAAGCCAATGGGTATATGTACTCTATTCTAACACACACTTTTTTTCAGTGGTTTTAATACTTTGTAAATTCCTGATCAAGAGAAATTATGCAGATCTGGCAAATCTTTACTTATCTATCTGCATATGTGTTCTGGGTCAAGGATCAGCACAGGTCTCCTTTCAAAGGATAACTGAGAGTCTAATTAATAAAAGCAAATCAAGAAAATACAGAGGTTAAGGATAGTAAGAGATTGAGGCTAGTATTAGGTTGGCAGACATGGTAGACTGAGGATAGAAATATAAGAAGGGTGGGGTTGGCTCTGGAAAGAAAGGAGAGCTGGGACCATGTAGAATCAGAAAAAAACATTTCACCCTTGGAATACAGAGTAACTAATGTACAGGATGCCAGAAGATGGGTCCTGGGAGAGGTGTATATTTCCCTTTGTTCAGGTTGTGATCCCTTTAAGGGACAGAAATGGGTTAACACCTGCTGCAGGAAGTGTGCTCAAAAGGATAGGAAGCTAGGGGCAGCAGGTGAGTAAGAGAGAGAAGCACTGATTAATGTGTGCAGACAAGCCTGTGGACAGTGGCGTAACAATAGCCATAGCGACCCAGGCGGCCGCTATGGGGCCCGGGCACAGGGGGGCAAGGCCAGAACACCACCCTGATGCCGTGCGGGCCGCCTGGGTCACTATGGGTTCGAACACGCCGCTGTTCAGATCACCGTGATCTGTGCAGCGCTGCGTTCTTCTCCATAGCCGCTGCTGAGTCAATGAGAGTCAGCAGCAGCAGCGGTGGAGGAGGCTAGACGTGGTGGGGAGGAGGCGGTGCCCGGGGGGTCAGCATCAGGAGGCGGGGCCGGTGACAGAGGAGGAGGCGGGCCCGGTGACGGAGGATGGAAGACGGAGGAAGAAGAGGCGGACAGGTAAGGAGTGTGACCAGCCCGCCTGAGGGTGACCCTGCAGAGCCCACCATAGAGAGTATATGGTGGGCTCTGCAGGGTCACCCTCAGGTGAGCTATGTGGGCTCTTCAAAGGGTGTAACTAGAAATCACAGGGCCCCATGCAAAATGTTGCTATGGGGACCTGTGATTTCTAGTTACGCCCCTGCCTGTGGAGTAGACTGAGGTACTGGTGCAGTGAAACCAGCTGAACTTTTCTGGGAGCCTGTGGGCTGAGAGAAACTCTAAGGTTGAGAGTGTGATAACCTTGTGGACTGAAGCCATCCAAGCCAGTTAGGCTTTTGTTATTATTTTCTGTGCTGAAGAAAGCAAACTGTAAAGTGTATCATTTCTATGCTGAAGAGACAATCTTTTAGTGTTGAATCAGTTTTTATTAAGTTTCATAAAAGAAGATTCAGACAATGCACATAATGGCTCAAACATTAAATCACAGTGAGAGACAATCTTTTAAGTTGTTTTGCTGTACTGAAGAAAGAAAGGACTGCTTATGTTGCTGCTGTGGAAAATAAATTCAATTTGTCGGATAAAGCCTGTGTCCTGCGGTCCAGCTATTTCCCCAAACATCACACTATTGGTTCCCATTATTGGTTTCACAAAGCGGGTTATGCGTGCAGATATTTGGTGTGTATATATAAAGAAATACATAAATGGACTAACAAAGTAAAAAGATTTATAATATTGATCAACAGAAGTTTGACATTTATAAGGCCCCTTTCACATGGGCTGATCAGAAGGGGATGCGTTTGGGGATCCCCTCCTGATTGGAGCAGTATGGATCGGATGTCACCGATGTAACATCCGTGTCTGTCCAGTTGTTTCCTCCATCGCAATACTAAAACTGCCGGACACCATGTCAGTCTATTGGGAATCAGATGTAAATGGATGTGTGTGATTACCCCCAATCTGGCACAATCAGGTCCACCGAAACATAACTCTGTTCCGTCTGTTTTTCCAGACTTGGCCGGAGTTGAGGGTAACTGGGTGTAAACGGACAAAAAAAATGAAGCCCCTTCAAGTCACAAGATAACTTTTATTAGATATGATGTAAACAACAGAGGAGGCTGCAGCTCTGCAATGGAGTTTAGTAAACAGCTGGAGGGGGTAGTGCAGTTTAATTTAGGACAGCAGCAGGGCGTGGTTTTGCAATAGCTTAGTTGAAGGTAGAGCTGCTTGCCAACTGAAATTTAATAAAACAAAGAACGTGTGGGGGGTAATCAAAGTTGTTGTGTTTTTGTTTTTTTAAAGATTATAAAGTGTATTTGCGGTTAGGTCTGTATTAGTCAACTGGAATCTGTACGTAATAAACTTAAAGAGACCCTGTCACTTTGAAGAAGAGTTAAACAGCTGCAAACATGAAAGCACCCAGAGGTACCTGTTTATACCTGCCACAGCCTACCAAACCATGCAGCCAAGGTCAAATTCCGGACTGCATTGCAGGCAAAGCTTGGACACTCCCAGAGTTTGCCGCTAAGCTCCAATCTCACACATTCATATTAACTCACTGATTTATGAGCAGATTTACTGGCCTAGGAATATGCAATATGCAATATGCAAGAATATGCAAGCGGTAAAAAATGGTTTTGCAGGATTTGGCATGTCAGATTCATGTCAGATTGGCCTGTGATTTGGATAAAAGGGTCAGGTTTGGGAGGCTACTAGAGGTGTATGCAGTCACCTCTAGGTGCATGCACTTCATACCTGCTGCCGTTTGCCCCCTTCCTACCATTGACAGAGTGTCTTCAATAGCACGCACCCATAGGTGCCCACATGAGTTCCCGCCTACCACAGTTAGCGGCCAACAGTGAAGTGTAGGATGGGTCTGTTTGCATACCTCATCCCTCCAGGTTTTGGAATGCACATAAATCAGATGGAATCTACATTCAGGCAGCACAGTCCATGTCCAAATTTACCAATGTTAAAACTAACTACACGTCTACTTTAAATCCTACCTACATTTTAGGTGTCTTTGTTTCACAGCTACATTAGAATATAGTATTTATATTCAGTTTTAAAAATAGGTGAACAGCTGCAGTTTTGTTTCTAACCTCATATAAATATAGGTTACCTGACAAAGGTAATTTAAATTGCAAATTGTATCTAATCTAATTTACCGAGTGAGTGATTGAAGAGTAGCTACATCATGACTGTCAAAACTACACAATAACAAATCCCACGCATTTGGCACCATAATGTCTACTGAAATATTTCAGCATTGGATCATATACAAGATAAAAGAAAGAAAAGATTCTAACCACTTTGTCCTCCTTTGGGAAAGCATCCAAGGAAGCAGAAAAGGAGAAAAAAAATGATAAAATGAATGGCAAGCAGGTATTAACAAGCAGTTTAGAAAAGGTTACAGGTTAAAGTAAAGGTTGACAGCAAGCAAATTTCTATCCCTTCGTTAAAGAGATTTTCCACTTCAAATGGAACATGGCTTGTGCTTCATATCTCTCCACATAGTAACAGAGGTACTCACCACCTTTCCAACACATGGATAAACTTTGCCCTAGTAATCTTCAGTGGGGCCAGCTTCCTGCTATTATTTTTACTGTCTTCATAGACAAACATCATTAGGTCAGGTGTTCCATTAAAAAAAAGTATTTGTATCAGATTGCGTCATAGTTTTTAAAATATTTTTCAACACCAGAGCGCAGTACGTTGCAACACATGCACTGTCGTGCATTAACGTGTGTTGTAATTAAACAGCCCAATAAAACTGAATGGGCTGAAACACAACATACAATCTTGGGCAGTTTGCATTTTTTCACAGAGCAGCACATCACACATGCATAAGACATAGTGTGAATAGTGTAAGCACAAAAGCACTGTGTATATATGAATGTCAGGAAGCAGTATAATATGCACTGTCCACAGTGCCGATCTTATTCTGTTTTGCAATGTTTACTTATTTATTCTGTTCTTTATTCTTTAAAAACTAGAGGCCACCACCTAAAATTGGTGGAAACAAAATTCCAGCACAAGGGGCGAAGGGGGTTCTTCACAGTAAGATCAGTTAGGGTCTGGAACTCACTGCCACAGGCGGTGATTTCAGCAAAGAATGTGGAATTGTTCAAGAAACTTTTGGACGATTTCTTAAGGGACCGCAATATACAGGGGTACAGGTACTCCTAGAATGAGATCCTAATAGGTTGGACTTGATGGACTAATGTCTTTATTCAACCTCAAATACTACAGTAGGTAACTATGTAACTATTGATCAGTTTTATTTTTTACTTTTCTGAAAGGTAATACGTTTATATTTTTGTTTTATGTCTCTATTTTACAAATAATTATTTAATATAGGGTGCTTCCATGTGCATGGCAGGCATTTTAAGAAAGCCCAGCACTACGTCAGGACATGGTGACTGTTCCTGGAGAGAGGGAGGGGGGAGTCATTCCGGTGTGCGTGTGTAACCGGGTATGCTGCTAATCAGTTTTATTCACAACCCAAGCTATTCACAGAAGTACTGTTTTAAGTCAGGTGGCTCTGTCGCCTTGTGCTTACCACCTGGTGGTTGCTAGCAGTAAATATGAAATACATATTAATAGTCAATAATTTAAATTTGACCTTACCAAAAAGAAAACACAAAAAACTGTGGTGTTTAGAAATAAGCATAATAAAGAAAAGATATTTAAAAACATTTAAAAAGAGCTTGTAGACAACTTCCTCGAGATATGAATTTGGCACATCAGACATATCAGATGGAGGGTCAAAGATTTTGTTCAGCATGCCGATACAAGGCCATATAACCTTCGGCATTGGGATGGGAGGAGTTTTGATAATTCATCCAAAGAGCTTATAAGCAAACATTTCTTATACACATTTGATGCTCAGAATGTATTTGAGTGTTATATAGCACAACCATAGAATCACATTAAGAATTTTTTTTAAAAAGCTCCTAAATCAACCCTTACTATGTAAATACTAGACGTTTAAGAAAGTGTACTTACATTGTTTGACCGAAGTGAAACACGGCCTCCACATCGGGCACAAAATTTTGTTCGGCAGTAAGAGCATAAATGTCCGCAGCCATCTGCAAACTTTGTTTTGTGGCAGATTCCACACGTTGGAGCATCATCCTTGTGTTCCCCAGGATACCGATTTGTGTCCTCCCCTATTTTTTTGATTTGTTCTTTGTAGCTCTCAAATTGCTGATGTAGCCTCCTGTGCAGGAAGAGAACATAAATCATCAGAGGGGAAATCGGTAACTACCCGCATAAACTAATGGAAAACACAAACTAAAAACACAGAAACATCATCTGACATCGAGAACTTCAGAAACAAAAGTGCAATGCATAACAAAATACTATTGATATATGTTGAAAGATGACCAGTAACCGTCCCTTCTAACTTACTAAAATAGCAAAATGAGAAGTAGCAGACCAATAAGTTCATCTCTTTCATTCTGTCCTCTCCTCCCAACAGTGTGTTCTTGTGCAGCTTCTCCCTCTCCTAATCTAAACTCAGAGACTGCAAGAGGCTGATGCCAAGTCAAATCCAGGTAATTGCACTGCTTGTATTTAATCAAGCAGTTTTGATGATGTATTAATGAATACAGATTATATTGTTGTGTCCTTTACATCTGCCTGGAATTCAAGTTTAAAATCTTACAGTGGCTGAAGTGGTCTGCATACTTGTCTTGGTCCAGAAGGGTCCTGGGTTCAGTTTCTACCAGGGCACACCACCAGCATGAATTTTTATGACCCGTACTTTTACTGTATTAACAATACACTTTAAATGAGACTTTTCAAGTGCCAACATTAACATAAACACATATAATTACAACTCACAAATCAGTTCATTGTATTCAAAACCTAGACCACATATAAGTTAAAAGCTAGTCAGTACATCAACCATAAAAATATTTACACTACTGTTTTGCAAAACACACCTCTGCCTGCCACATACCCGGTATCATATATCATGTATATTTACGATCCATGTAAACTATTTCCAGGGCTAAGGGTACCTATTTTTTTTTCTCCTCTCCACTCTGCCCTAGTGTGTATACCTGTACATCTAAGAAAAACAAACCATGTGAAACTGCAGTAGGGACACTAGAATGTCAGCTTTACTACAACATGGATTGATGTAAATGTCTCCTTATATTGTGTAAACTCAAGTTGTGCCAAGCAAGTATAGCCAATTACCTGGCACTGAAGTGACCACAAATTACAGGATGTAAACAGTGAATATCCAGAACTAAGAGCACAGTTTTATTGTGATAAAAGCCGACAGTATACCTTGATGTTTTTTTTCTGAATGCACTGCAGATGCTGCAAGCAATATATTGAGTGCATATTAGAAAAGCATGGTTGTCAATGTATACTGACAGCTACAGTCACAGAAAACATCAGTGATAACGGGTTTTGACTCAGACAACTTATGATCAAGAAGTAAGCATTGTTCTCTGATGGAAGCAAATGCATTCACAGCAACCAAGCCAAAGGATGACCACACACAGGCAAATGTCAGCTTGAGCAAGGAGCACACCACCTTCTGCTGCATTCTCCAGCATTCTGTAAAAAGTCAAACGCTTAGAAGCACTGATTCTAGGGTAAGGTAGAATCGGCACTCATCACAACCACGAGCTGATGAGGTACAGGACTTAAATTACTGATAATTTACACAAACCCTAAGGCCTGGTTCACACCTGGGCGTTTTACAGCGTGTAGGAACGCGCTGCAAAACGCCCTATGCCCAAAGAAGTACAGGAGCTTATTTGGGGCGTATTTGCTGAAAGTATCCTTTGGGATACAGCCGGATAGCCCTCGCGGTAAAAATGCGGGGCACGAAATGCGCGGCAAACGCGCATATTGCGTACGCCTAGGTGTGAACCCAGAAAGACATCTAGTCCTTCCAGTGGAACTATGGAAAGATGTGTTTATCCCCATAGCCACTGAACATCTGCTGGTCTGGGACTATTTTATTCCTGAGAATTTTTGACTAAATAGTACACATGTTCATTATCCACAAAGATCCTCTGGCGCATGTCAATGGCTTATAACTCGGAGATCTTAGCCATTGAAAGGGAAGTGTAAATGTTTTAGTCATATTTAATAACTTTTTATGCATATACAAAGTGATGCTTTACTATAAGAATAACAGCTCGCTTGTCTTGAAAGGCGTATATACATGGCTATTTCTTTTGAGAATTCTGAGATGACACCTGAGGAAGGAGACGGGGTGAGTTGCTGAGATCAGTTTTCATAGCACCCGAATGGTCCCCTCACTCACCAATAGAAGCACTGGAACTTCTGTTATCCGACTGGTTGTCTTTCAAGTCTTATAGAAACAAGCTAGCTCTGGTAGTGTAGGATCTGAGAAGGGGGTGTGCCCTTGAAGCGCGCCATCCGTCGCAGCCCCCCATCAGCGTTCTCCGTCACACCGACCAGGCTCTGTGTTTGCTCACTTGGATTGTTTTAAAGTACTTCATCGTGTGTGGCGATTGTACAAAGCATATACACTGCTACAAATGTGAGTAGTTTTGGCATTATTTTTCATTAAATAAACCTGTTGATACCGCGCAGGGTCGGGCGCTCTTCTGCTTTTGTTTTTAATCAGTACAGATGTATGAAGTGGTTTTCCTTTTTTTAAATCAAGTAAAAAACATTACCCATCAGTTGCAAACAGTTTCACTCATGTTGATAATTTGCTATGTGCAATAACAAACACTGAACACTCCTGAATTCTCATTATCACTTGCTCACTAACAAGGCCAACAGTGCTATAAATAGCCAAATTGCCTGAAAGTATCAGCTGGTTTGTAGGGGCCAAAAGCCTATCCAGTGTATCATTTTAGGGACCACTCAGACATACTGTATCCTTCTGGACATTTTTCATGTTACACTAATATTTGGGGTGTAAGGGCTAGTTCACACCAAGCGCGTTCCAGGAGCAGAGCAGATCTGTTACAGACCGGATCAAAACTGCGACCAATGTATTCCAATGGTATTTTGGGCTCTAGTTCACCCCGCAGCGTTCAGTTCCAGAGCATGTAAAAAAACTGCAGTAAGCGCTATTCTACCTGCTCTGGAATGCATGCAAACGCATCAAAAGTGCATGCAAATGCACTGGAACGAACTGAAAGCGCATTTTAAACTTTAAAAAAAAAAACATATTTTATTTTAAAAACATAATAAATGCAAATGTCTCCATTTTATTTCTTTTATTAAGAAGTGTGCGTTTTATTTTATTTTTTTCTTAAAGTGGAATTTCCCTTTTTAAAGACTGGAATTCCACAACATTGTACTACAACAACAACTGTATGTAACTACATTCCTCTGCAACTACAGATTCACTCACTTCAACATGGTAACTTGGAATCTTTTAATTACATGGTATTCTTTCAATATACATGGGGCTGTCTAATAAGCAAAAATGCAAATTAGAAACATATGTGTGAATTTAGTATTTTCTTACACCTTTTATTCTGCACTGAACAGTCACACTTTCCTAACGGAACAAGATTGTGCTAGGGTATAATGCTGTTTAATGGGGGCAGCCTGTGAAATTCACTGACTCCTTTTTTAATACTTAGAAAATTTTCAATTAACGTATACTTTGCCCCAAACAAATAATAAAGTATATGTGTTTCCCAAATAAGGTGTTTAGTATACAAGCACCATAGAGATGAATCTAAGAATACATAGTATAGTCAAAACCATTTGTAGTGTTTACACAAGGACCTGTCAGCAAATCCAGACTCTAGTACTATGGCAGTGAAGGAATCAGGCAAGACATTGTGCCTATTTGGGGTGAAGGGGTAGTAGTCTTTTCTCTCAGATGTTTATTCCAAGGAAGGCAAATGTCAAAGTCTTGCAAAGCCCAGTAGGTGCAAGCACTCTATGTGTATTTGTATGTGCAAAAGTATAAGGCACTGAGAGAGAAACGCCTGCAGTAGGTGTAAGTGTCATATATATAAACCTAAATTCTATATGGAGGAGTAGAATATACAGTAAACCTGTATCTTGTGTGATGCACATATTATCTTAAGAGTGTGAGAACCAACTTTCAAACTAAGTGAGCACTATCTTGGTAGGTACTGGCTGCAGATTTTAACTGGTCACCTTTCTTTTTGTTGAACTTTGGACACATATTGGTAGATGCCTTATAGGTGATAATTCAATGTTTGATCTATGCTTCAAATTTCACTCCAGGAGACTATTTTGAGCTTAACAAGTTACCTCCACAAATCCATGACTGTGTGACATGATATGTCCATCCCTTGAGAAAGGTCATCTGATGTGTAAACGAGTAGAGCTGTACAGGACTAGAGAGCCTCCTCATAGAATGAACAGAGGTTTTAATTTAATCTAATGTACCATGGTGATTTAATCATGTTTTGGGTAATAAAAAAAAAAAAAAAAGTAGCTGTTTGACTTTTTTTGTAGAGCATGTATATTTAATATAATTTTATATGTGCACAGTCTGTTTTAGTCCATAGAACAGGCTTTGCTTTTTATTTGGAATATCAAGTTAATGGTCAACTCCAGACTACGAGAGGAACCGAATGGACCATAAATGTTTATCTTGTGGCTTTGTTGCCCTAAACGCTAGAGATGACAAGTGTTTTCATTTTATTTCACAATATATACCATCATAACCCTCATTGTACATATTGTGAGGAAAGCTGTAGTTGACTGACATTTGCCAAATTACACTGAAACCAAAGATGCATCTGATTTTCACTAATTATGTTATTTTTCAGGATTTGAACTTGTTACTGTCCCAAGAATAGACAGCTCATTTATTACAACTGACAATAAAAATGTGTTATTGTATGGCCAAACTTCTGGTGACTAGACATGCAGATCCCCTCGTTAGAAGTGGCAACAGATGATTGATCTGATTATAGGCCTGATTTTCACACCTCTAAACTGGCTGCAGATTTTTACTTGTGATTTACATCACTTTGAATCAGTACTAGCACAAAGGATGCCAAAGTGCACCACCAACTTTTTTTAATTTACTGATACAAACATAAACAAAACACAAAATGTAAAAGGTTTACTCAGGAACAGTAAAAAGTAAGCCAAGGGAAGAAAATGGTGTTAATAAAAAATAATTAGGGTTAACTAAAATTTTAACTTGTAACTTTAATAAAGGTATTAATGTTTTTGATACAAATCATTATTTTAATTAAGCACTGCAAAACACAAATG